GTTATATAGAGTATATATGTAGGCATATAAAATTGCTTACATTCCGATCCTCTGGTTCACGTTTTACATCTGAAGGTATTTCCCCGGCGTTGATTCTTGCAAGTTGAAAGAGTATAAAATGCTCGGTTGCACACGAACTTAGGCCTTCTTTACTTGTTATGAATGGCTTTACTACCAGAAGTAAATTAGTTTTGGAATAGTGCTGTCGAATTTACACTCTTTGTTCAAATAAAAAACCATGTTCTTCCCGCTTATTTAGGCCCGACTGTAATGGGAACGACTCTCGGCACGCGCTCGATATCTAGCAGATCTGCTTAAAAGATACTGCCAGAGAAAGAAAGTCGTAAAGAGACGGAAATAGTTGTTCAAAAATTCGCCCACACTAATTTCCAATTTGGAAACATTTTTATAGAATGAGATTATGTCCCCGCTTTTTTGCGGTACAAAATGCTTTACCGATACAAACAGTTATAAATTCACTAACTCTACTTAATAAAAAAACTTCAAAACCGAAGATAATACCTACGGAATTTGGGGTTTTCAAAGCGCTTGCAAATTATGCACAATCAGCCAGTGAATATTTTCAGCATAAAGCATTTCCAATTCCAATTTCTCAGCGTGAATTCGCAATGGCATATATTTCACATAATTTTAATTGTTTAATCTGATTTCTAATTGTTGACTTTAATTACCACTTGCTACCTATCTACCACATACTAACAACAACAAACAATCGGCACAAATACTCGTAAGGGTAATTCGCTTGAGCGGCGATTGGACGAGTGAATGTTAGTGTGAGCGTATGTGACGCGACTGAATGAGAATGCCCGTAGTCATTCACGTAATTATTTTTTCACCAGATGTTTTGCTGATTAAAGTCATAAGCAGATATGCGGCATTTATCTGTGCGAGTGTATGTACATATGTATGTATGCATAGTTTTGTGTGTAGGCGCTACGGTACGCTTATTGTCTGGACAATAGCACAAATACTTACATTTAGTGCGAAACAGAACTTCCGGCGGCGGCGATTTGTCTGTTGCTGCCAAGTTTCTTCCACTGTTGTTTTTGTAAGCATTAGCATATTGCAATTACGCGGCGGCATCAATTGCGACTGTTGCAATGACAATGTTTGCACTTTTAACAAATATTTTGTAGTTATCGTTGTTGTTATTGTTGGTGTAGTTGTTATTGCTTTTTGTTCTCGAAACTAATTTGAAGTACAAATAATCGGCTGTCAACAGCTTCCGATGAGTTTTCTTTACTTTGCGGATGATATTGCGCGGGTGCTGAAGAGCGGGGAGATGAACGGTTGGTCGGATGAGCGGAGGGTCGCATAAGCTGGTAAACAATGCTCGCAAGTATCATGCATGCGAATATGCAAGCAAATATACGAGCGCGGTGCGATTTGTCTTATCGTAGAAAATAAAAATTTCAATTTTGGAAAAATGGGAATTATTTCTCTAAGTAAGAGCACTGAGGTCTTAGTCTTTCATAGCGGTGTGTGTGGTGATGGTGGCGGTGGTCATTTTGAAGGCACACTTTTTTCACCAAATTAGAACTCTGCGACCGTTTTACGCTTCTCTAATTATTCACCGCTGATCACACCTTGGAAACCCCAGTCAGTTTGTCTAATTGCGGAACGCCCTTGCTCAAGCAAATATGTACATATGTATATGTATGTATATATTTAAAGAGGGTACGCATGAGCTCACTGGAACGCTGTGTCGGTCGTTTTGTGGAGCTTGTGATATGATGACATAGCTTTACATAGATAGTTTTTATGACTTTATACTATTTCAAAGTATCAATTGTTGTTGTTGCGTTTTATTTTTTATATTTACACAGTTACCTTTTTTCTACGCGTAGTGGCGTTCACCTGTGTGTGCCTGTGGCGCTTTGTCTCAGTGTTGCTTTGGCGGCATCGGTGGTGTCGAGTCACCTTTTGTAAACAAATTGTTAATATCTATTCAAATGTGTCATTGAGTTGTTGCAATGTGCGACCAAATTGGTTACTAACGTGTTGTTTGTGCAAATTACCGGGCAAGCCGCGCGCGAGAATCAGAAAAAGCGTTTACACTCCACAACAAACACATGTATGTACATATAGTATGTAAAACCCCATCCAAACTATATTGGTTCTTAGGTAATTGGATTCCCACTTATAACATTACATACAGTGGTGGTCTTATAATTAGAAATGACTTTGCTGCATATAGTTATCTTAACTTATTTTAAAAATTTAGATTTCCACATTAAAACTATAAATTGGAATCAACAAGGTAACACATTTTATTTGAGTTTTACATAAAAAAAACAACAACATTAATTCTATTTTAATGAAAATGAGGCAAACACAAAGAACACCAAATTCAGGTTGGTCATATAATTATAAACGACAGTAACAACTTAAAAATATTTATATTCAATTGAAAAAATTGACTAAATTTTTTAGTATTTTGTTGGATATCCCTTATTTTTAACAACATTGTCTAGTCTTCATGAAAATCTTTGGATTAATTGTTGGCATATTTGCACTGATATGGTGTTCCAATTTTGTTGAACCATTTGAATCAACTCGTCATATTTTCGCGGTTGTTTATTCTTAAGATCTTGTTACATAATTGCTCGAAAGTTTTCAATTGGGTTAAGATCAGGAATTTGTGGAAGTCAATCCAAAACATCAACATTTTTATCCGACAGCCAGCTTTTCACTAACCTTTAGGTGTGTTGCGGTTCGTTAACCTGCTGGAAAATGTAATGGACTGGCATATTCTCAAAGGAATATGATTCCATTACATTCAACAGAATATTTTTATATTGATATTCGTCCATTATCCCTTGAACACACACCATTGGGTCAACACCACGAGCGAAAAAGGCTCTCCAAACTATAGAAGATCCGCCACCGCGTTTTACTTTTATCACAGTGCACCTGAGGTTCAGTGCTATGTTGGGAGGACGTCTTATCTACGACTTTCCGTCGAACTGAAATAAATTGAACTTAGATTCGTCACTCCAGAGAACTCTATTTCAGTATTGGGCATTTTTCAGCATTTCCTTTGCAAATCGCAAGCGCTTAATAAAATTTTTTTGATACAAGCGGTTTTTTTTTCGTGCACCCACGATGTCCCAACTCTTGTAAACGCCTTTTTATCGTCCGAGCTCAGATTTCTACATTAAGTGCTTGTCCAACTTCAGCCTTAATTTCACGCGAAGTCATGAACGTGTTGTTGTGTTCTGCTGGAGTGGTTTTTCGAGGTCTGGTCTTCCTGGTAGGGGTTTCAAATTTCTTTGTATTTGTTATACAAATGAATTGCTCCAAATACCATTTTTTGAAGCAAGCAAACCTTTGTGCGATAGCTGACATTGACAATTTCTCCTTTTGATAGTACTTTATTTTGGGAGTACATGACTTTTTTTTCCCCCATTCTAATGATTAAAACGTTTTTAATTGAACGTTGTTTAATTGTAGTATACTCACTTTATCGCTAAGTTCAAAAAATCCGAGAATCAAACGTGTTTCTAATTACGTAGCCAGCCAAGAAACCCTTAACCGGGAAACAAATTTATTTTTTTCAATAACCAATCAGAAAATAGTCACGTGTTTTTTTAACAATAATGTTTATAGTCTGTACTATACGAATAACGGGGCTTATAATTTACAGTACGCGTCTTAAAAAAAGTATACAGTGATTTGATTTTTTGTAGCATATCGTTTCTAATTATGAGGTCACCACTGTATATGCGATTAAGCAACAAAAACATTTAAAATATATGCACAAATTAGCATTCACTTATTTATTGTTCTGGTGGGCCGCAGGCGATTAGCATACAAAAAACATAAAAAAAAATCACCAAAATGTTCGAAAGGTCGAACATCAAGGTCAAAGCGGTGGATATGAATACAAGTGGCGAAGGCCTCATATATAAAGGTAAATAAAAATTGTCACAGCTCAAAAATCCACAGATGTATTATAAACCGACCCACTTATTTTTATTATTTTGGTTGCATAGATAAAAAAATTGTTTTAGCGCCAAATAATTAAATAGCGCCTTGTGCGAATATAAACCCGGTTCCGGTTATGTACTACTAACTATCAGGAAAGCAATGCATATTTCCTCGTTATTACTTATACGTACCTTTTATTAGTCATAAAACGTATATTTTTTGGTAGACATTCTTAATTTCACATTGTCACTCCTATATAGTGTGCGGTGACTAACGTAAAACTCGCTGTTTGCCTCTTTAGGAAAACCTATTGCATAACTGAGTATCTGGTTCCCTGGACTTCAACTAACATCCTACAATAGTTAACTAAGAATAAATAAAATTAAATTTTTGACCAAGCCTCCTTTCTGTACCTCCTTCATAACTTGATTTGGTCATTATACAATGTTTGATTGAACTCTTGTAACTAAAATTCTGCTAGTAGAATTCCTGCCTTTGCCTTAAAATGGTAAAGAATACTTCTTGCGGTAAAAATTCTCTATCAAACCTATATATAGTTCCAGTTTTACGTCACTCCTAAGCTCTTAACCAATAGAACCAATGAAGTCCGACGTCACATGTGTAGTGTAGAATTCTTAATATGGAAAGTTTCGTTGTTCTTCTGAGACCTCAGTCCGGTCGATATCAAACTGTTCAATTTATCGTCAAAGTAGTTAGTAATAATTAAGCCCATGATAACGTTTTTACGACTCGAAAGCCTTTGTGTCATTTCTACGTTCAATCTGCGTGTATGTTTCTTTAAATTTGTATTGTAGTTCATGCCAACAAAACTTCAATACATATCTGTCTGCGTAACTAAAAAACAGTATTATTCGAAAATTTTACGAATGAGCGCTTTAAACTGAATGAACCGAATTTGAATGATTTTATCAACACCAGGCGTAATGTTGTTGTAAAAGCCAAATTCAATGTCTTAACCCTTCCAGCCATCGATCAGTTATCGTGTGTGATTATTCATGTTCATATCTGTTTAATTTCTATAATTGCAGGTACATTGAGGCCACCTGGTTTAATCGGCGGATCAAAGCCAAAAGTTGCTACGCCCGCTGTAGTCTCGAAAATCGAGCAATACAAACGCGATAATCCGACAATATTTGCGTGGGAAATACGCGAACGGCTGATATCGGAAGGTGAGTAAAAAAACAACACAAGCGAACACATGTACGAACCTCAACAACAGACTTAAAAGACACAAATCTTGTCCGTGGGTGCTCACTGGAAGCCAGTGACTGAATGACTGCCTGCCCGCCTAGCCACCGTGCTGCCTATCTCGCGCGCTCGCACAATTGACCATGCTAACGGCATGACTGACGCGACTTGGCTTTAGCTCAGCTTACGTAGCGGTCGCTTGATGTTTTACCTCATTAAGTGACGCCGTCAACCCCCCAGAAGAAGAGTTGCGACCAAAATGATTGGCCAAACAAATTACCAATGAATTGCGATTGCTAAAGCACCGCACACATACGAACACTTCCGTGCGCTGTAATGCATACCCTTTGATAAAGAGTTACGCACTGGTCGGCTTCTTGTGCCCCATAGTGGGACGGTGGTCGGTCATACCTACTGATGAATTTATGGTCTGCTCAGTAACTGAGGCCAAATAAATGCCTTCCTTGCAATTTCCCTCGACTTAACTGACTTCAGCACACACACACACAAAATGTAATGTATTGTTGCACTCGCCAGATTTATCGATAGTCTAATTTATTAGCATCCGGACGCTATAGCGCCGTAATCAGACGCGTATGCGTATACAACCTGTCTCTTATACACATCTAGATGTGTATAAGAGACAGATGTAATGTATTGTTGCACTCGCCAGATTTATCGATAGTCTAATTTATTAGCATCCGGACGCTATAGCGCCGTAATCAGACGCGTATGCGTATACAACCCCGTATAGCATCTTCTAAATGTTGCTCGCGGAAGCGAAGAAGACACGCGTTCGAATGCGGAAAGATTGATATGTAAATGCGGCTGAACGGCACTCAGCTTGTTCGTCACTGCGCTGCAGGATTTTCTTATTTGCTTCTTTCTGCGCAGCTGTCACAGCGGAGTCGCTTAGTCAACGTGCCACAACAACAGTAGATACATCGTGAAAGCTTCGCTGCGGCCTCGCTCCATATATTTATGTCCGCTGCGCACACTTAGCTTTGCATACTATGTAGGTAGTTCATTTGCGAATGCGTATAGGCTTCGGTCTTCGTACTTGACATTTAGTCAGTCACCGCATTCAAATTGGGTTTGATATCGATCGCTCACATCAAATTGCTGTCTCGTCGTGAACTCTACGCGCCGATCACACTAAACAGCTTAGTAGTTGCTTCGCACAACCTGCACATATCCCTTCCACTTGGGCGCTGCTTTTCTTCTTCTTCTTTTCATTGTTTGTAATTAAGAAGGCTATTGGAGCCTGTAGATGTAGCAGAACACATGCAAAACGTCAATTTCAATTAAACTTAACAACAACAGTTACCACGATTCTGGCTTCCTGTAAATAAATGTATTTTATTCTTCAACTGTTACGGTTTCAATGCTCCAAACCTTCTTCTTCAAGATTACTCCGCTTTTTAAGTCTTTTGTCCATACTAAATGAAAATTCCCGATGCCCGCTGATAAGTTATAAGCAAATATCTGGCTGAGACCCACTCTTCATGGTCTAACTAACATAAAGTTCATTTATCTAATATCATATATGAAGAAGTGTATGATGTATATATGATAACAGAGAAATAAATTTTAAACAAAGTTCTGTCTTCAACTCTCATATAAAACTCGAACTTAAAATCTCGGTTTCATAAATGAAAAAGTTCAAAGAGAAGATGTGGTGATTATATGCCACCAGGTAAAGTGGTTATACTAAGCCTATCATCGAAATTCCGATGAAATTCACAGAATTCTGTTTGAATTTATATTTTCAGGACTCTTGGACAAAGATTTTTCTTGTGCTGGTGAGAGATGTAGTTGTTCGATCTGCACCTATGTAGAAATTTTTGATATCTCAAAAAATTACTACAAATTTTTATAACCGGTTTTAGACCAATAGTCTCTTAGCAAAGTTGTTGACCCGTTTAACATTTCCGGGATACGCTATTTTTTAGAAAAAAATATAACATACCAATATATAATATACCGAACAGAAGTACTATGAAGTTTATCATGGATTCCTTTAAAATTAAATAAAATGCTAGAGGCGAACTTCTATTAGAGATTTAGAGTCTGGTTATTGTCATTCCTAAATCGAATAAATAATACATCCAAATCTAAACATTTTCAGGTGTTTGCACGAATGCTACGGCGCCCTCCGTATCCTCCATCAATCGCATATTACGTAATCGCGCGGCAGAACGTGCTGCTGCTGAATTCGCACGCGCTACCAGTTATGTTTATATGCATCCCACACATCCCGGCTTTCCGACATGGCCGTCCACCTTACCACCACCACCGCCTCATCTATGGACGCCTGGCGCAACAGCGGCTGGCGCTGGTGGTGTCGGTTGCGGTTTCCCAAACAGTTTGCCCCAAGGTAGTCTTCCACCGGCAAATTCCAATATTTCCATACCACCAATATCACCCGGGTCGGGTAGTCACGAGACATTGGGATCACCGGATGCCAGTCGTATGATTGGTAGGATTCTAGTTGATTTCAGGCTAGTTTCTTTAATTATTGATAAAACGAATGTGATATTTACAGATATTGAAGGCGAGGACTCTGACACAGATGACAGCGATCAGCCTAAATTCCGTCGAAATCGAACTACATTCAATTCTGAGCAGTTGGATGAGCTGGAGAAGGAGTTCGAAAAGTCACATTACCCTTGTGTGAGCACGAGAGAGAAATTAGCAGCGCGCACTGCACTGAGTGAAGCGAGAGTTCAGGTAGGTGCAATTGTTTTATATAATAAGTTTAGAAATCAAAAAAGGTAATCTAGTAGACAGTCAAATATTGAATGTCAGTATATCATAGAAAGAATTTATGCAATAAAGTAGTAGATTTAATACTTAATACAGGAAACATAACATCATAAATTTTACGTTTGCTCACAGTTAAGCTAATACAAGTTTTTGAACTGTAAAACTATCTCGTTAGAGCCTTTGGAATTGTAGCGGCAAAAACCATTCCTCAAATAATTTGAAAGAAAGTTACCGCTCTCACATATCTTGCGCAATAAAAATTCTTTTCTTATTCTGGTTACTTACTGTGAGCGTCAAAAATAAGTAAACAGCAGTTCTATCAATATTAAAGTGTTTATAACAACGCAGTCTTCAATGCAACAATAAAAAGTTGTATTACAGAATTCAAGGCTGATATTATAAGAGTTTAACTTAGTATAAATAATACACAAAAACTAAACACAGCCAAAAATAATTCACTTAAATTACAAAAACTCCGTTTTATCGCGTCAAAAAAAGTAAACAGAGTTCCGTAAAGTTAAAACACATACTTATATGTACATAAACTAAATTGATATAAGAGTCTAATATTTTGTTTGCTTTCCTTTGGACTTCAAGACCTCCGTTAATCTTCTAGGCATAGATTCTGTAAGATTTTTTGTAACTTCTGGAGAGATTTTGCTCCATTCTTCAGTCAAAGCCTGTTTTAGGTCGTTCAATTTACTGCGATTTTGTAGGGACTATGGGTATATCAGCTGGTATTTCCAGAATTGGTGATACCACATGCTTGGAGCATAATCCCACAGTTGTTACACGGAAAGACCTTCACACTATGAAATCTACGAGACGTTTGGACAATGTTCCATAATTTTAGCGTCTGCTTGACCTAGTCAAGCTAGACCCACTGTGTTTCTTTTTTCTTAACGTTTGAGACAGATTCTATAGGATTCCATTTCTTTTTTGTTATTTTAGTCATCGCATTTAATATTGCCTTTTTCTGTCTCGCACTTCGACATTGTTTAATTATTTCCTTCAACCTGAGTTCCGAAGCGATTTTCAGTTAATATCATTGGGTAACCAATTTATGAGCATATGAGGCACCCAACTGGAGAAACTGCTTAGAAAATCCTGGCTCAGCTTGATTTGTTGTAAAATTAGTTATTAGATTTCGAGTAAAAGTCATAAGTAGAAATGCAGAACATCATTTAAGGATGCAATACAGTTCAGCATATTATAATAGTAGCAGCTTTGCCGCAGAAGACAATTGAACCTTAGATATACCAATTACTTTCTAGAAAATTACCTTTGGTCTTCACCGACTATGAGTTATTTATTCAGTAGCGAAGCTGGAATAACGTAAAAGCTTAGCATCTGAAAGGACTTACATCTTTAAAATTAATGGTGGTTTATCGACTCCCTTAAAAATGCTTTAAAATGTACTCAGATTTTTTTTGATACATAGGCGTTAGGAGAATTAGATCCTCGCACGTAAGACTAGTAATCAAAGCTATTTAAGTTTACTCAAAGTAATTGTGTTCTTCAATTATTAAGGATCTTACCTTACCTCCAAATATTAGACCAGTTTTCCGTAGAGACCTCCACAATTTCGGGTTATATATACACACATACGTATATTTATCTAAGTATATCTGCATGCCATAATACTTTCAACAAAGCTTCCTTTAACTCCTGTTCCTACGCAAACACCTGTCGAAACGTGTTTAATTACTCCTACAACCATTTTACCAACTAACAAATTGTATTCTTCGTATTGATCAACATTAGGTTTGGTTTTCCAACAGACGAGCGAAATGGCGCCGACACCAGCGGGTCAGCCAGCTGAAACAGCAGGGTTCCAACTCACCTCAGACACACTGCGCGATGCAACGCAACCATTCACCAGTCAACCCACAACGACTTCACCATATATTGGATGTGGAGAATTACAACAACACCAGCAAAGCGAACGCAACAAACAACTACTACGGATTGCAAACGGGTACAACAGCCCATACGTTGGACTATACACACAAGCTTGTGAACGCTTTTATCCCTACAGCAAAGCAAGACGGACAACAATTTCACACGAACATGAATACAGTGAGTCTGCAGCAACACCAACAACGAAACCACGAAGCGCTCCACCACAGCAGCGACTCAACGAAATCAAAAGCGTTGCCTTCGCCGCAACACGGCAAAACAACACCACCACCACCACCACCACCTGCGTTGGTCATTCCATCGCACACAGCATCAGTTCCATTATTAATGGGCGGTGAGCATAGTGCTTTCCGCTCAATGGTGGTGAATCCCGTATTGTCCGAGGCAATGCTCGCGCTAAACTTCACCCGCCAAGTTGTCTCCGCCGCACAACAGTCGAAACTGCTGGCGAGCGGGGGCGAAAACGGCGAAGATGACTCACCACTTTCTCACTCTGTCACACCCTCACCGACGAACACGACACACTCAAAGGTATCAGAGGAGGAGATAAATGTGGTGCAAGATGTGGAAAGTAGTGGGCAGTGCAATGAGGATGTGACAAATTATGAAAAATAAGCAGATCTGAGCCTGAGGACTAAGCCCAATGCTGCATAGGATTCCCAAGTCTGATTAAAGCAATTCTAACGGAGTAAGGTTGTGTGTAACATGTGTATTTAGAGCGAAATGATTAGTCTTAACGCTATATTATAAGAGAGGGTTATATATATATGTATCTATATAGCAAACTGAATTCCAAGCGCTCTCTTTAGGTATTTTATAATCTGTCTCTTATACACATCTAGATGTGTATAAGAGACAGATATATATATGTATCTATATAGCAAACTGAATTCCAAGCGCTCTCTTTAGGTATTTTATAATAATTTAATTCTCTCAAATCAAATTTAAGTAACTTAGTGCAATTAACTGTAAATTAAAATGAAAGTAATTAAACTCTGGAATATAACTAAAAATTAAATTAAAATTAAAATCATTTAATCTCTTTTTATCAAGTGATAATACGATACAGTAAGTATGTTATTCAAAAAGTTATAATAAAACGAGATTTTATTTGAACATCAACCAAAGCGACACTATGGTAGGCTTTCACTAATATAAGAATATTGCAAAATGTAGGAGAAACATTTTAGCTGCAAAAACTGGAGAAAACTGTACTACGTTTAGCGTCATAACCTGATACAGACTACCCGAGGTTATGCAATTCTACACAGCACTCTATTTCTTTCTATATATCTCTTTTCATACTTCTCTCGAGAGCAATAGCGCTCTCTTTACCTTCTTCTATCTCTCTCTTTTTTCCTCTTGTGCTCTTTCAACGGTATCGCGGATTATACAAGCGCTAAAGATATTCTGGTTCCTTCTTCCTACTATCGGTTTAAGGGTTAAGGGTAGTCAAAGGCACGAAAAGATTACAATTTTCAGTATTTTTTTTTTTTGCTATTAAATCGTCTTATTTTACAAAAGTAGTAATATGGCATTATTATAGAATGTGTTGACTTGAAGTCCCGAAAATTTAAAAAAAAAAATTAATTTCTTATATTATAGTCCTTGGAGATTCGTCTAAAATCAATCGAGCAAAAAAAATTGATTTTATAAATAGATAATCCTGGGCCTAATTGAAGGATTATTTTTTCAAAATTTACAAAATGGCGGCCTCAGGAAATTTTTTTCTAAATTTTTGCGTAAAAATCAACAATTAATTAGTCGCTTTTAAAGTTCCATACTAGCGCTTGGAAGTGCGCGAACTCTCTTTGTTATTTGTCAAAAACGAATTATCGGATGTTTATATTATATTACACTTGACGAAAATGCAAAAGAAAAGTTATTTTTTAAAATTCTGACAACCCCTAACCCCAGTGGCGTAGCTAGGGGAGGGCGGCAGGGGCGGCCCGACTATGACAATCAGTTCTACTTATAAAAAATCCTAAATCTGTGGCAGAGAGCATAACCGCCACTAATCAAATAATCTGGGTAACTATAATATTGTACCACGAGCATAATAAATTGATATTTAAAAACAAAACAATGTGCACACTGTCAATTGATCAGAGATTCCAGCAAAATTTAATGATCCGTTCACGCACAACCAACGCTATTCAGGGGATTCCCTTGTCGATTGGGCAATTTCTTTTGTTTCCAACCGCATTTATTTCAATATTCTTTTACGTGAACGTGTGAAAGTTTAGTGTAAAGTGTTTGTTAATTATTAGATATTAAAAACAACAATTTTTGTATAAAACCGAGTTAATAGTCGATTCTTGAAGAAAATAACAGAGGTAAGTAAAGTATTTACACCCAGATGCCGGATTGTTAATTTATATAAAAATAATTTCGTAGTCAAATGGTAATAAATTAAATAGAGTCAGTACTTTTTGATGTTATGAATATAATTATTTAATATGTTGTAAAATTTACTATCTCAGTATATCAGCTTTTAATTTTTGATTAAAAAATTTAATTTTTAAGAAGAGATATTATGTTTTTGTATTTAGGTTTTAAAATTTATAAATTTTTTGCACCGCTGTTTTCTCCCTTACTAAATAAAAATATTTTTAGGATACCCAGAACGAAATATGCCGCAAGGAATTCATACTTCGAAAAGACAAAACAGGTTTCAGCAGAGAAAAGCCAAAAGGCTAAAATGGTATTTTCTCCTATATCAAATAACCTGTACTGTTTTTGCTGTCAGTAACATACAAAGAACATTTACAACTGGATTTCAGAAGTGGTGGAAACTAAATCCTAAAGTATTGGACCATGAAACTTCAGGTGAACATTTAGAAATTTTCGAAAAATGGAAAACATTGGAAATGAGATTAAAAAAAGTATGATGCTGTACTCAAAGAACATATATTATATTTGGAGCAGGAAAAATCACCTAAAGTAACATATTTATCGCCAGAAATTCAAAATGAGTTCATAAATGTTTTAGCTAATCCGGTAAAATGTCAGCTTGTCAACGAAATTAAATCGGCCAAATATTTCGGAATCATGTGTGATAGCACACCTAACGTTGCACATGTCGATCAAATGTCTGAAGTAATTCGTTATGTAAAAATTAATAATAGAAAAGTAGAAGTCAAAGAAGTATTCTTAGGATTTTTTCCCTTACATGGAAAAAAAGCAGCTGATTTAAGCGCTGAAATACTAAAATAGCTTGAAAACGATGGCTTAGATATTATGAGTGGTGTACACGGGGGAGTGCCAGTAATTATAAAAGAAAAAAACAATAAAGCAATTTTTATTGGTTGCATAGATCATTCAATTAATATATGCGGCCAACATTCGTTTGCACAAAATGTGACTTGTGTTACATTTTTCGGAGCAGAGGAGACAATATTTAACTTTTTTTCAACTTCCACTAGCCGCTGGGATGTGCTCCTCAATCACTGCAAAGCATCTGTTAAAAGACTTTCGACAACGCGCTGGAGTGCTCATAATGGGGTAGTAAAAGTATTGGCTGAAAATTTTGATGGGATAATATCGGCAATTGAGGAACTATGTGACCAAGGCGTAAATTTAGAAACTAGAGGTGCTGCACAAAATCTTATCACTGCTGCGTGCAATTTCTCATTTCTTTGTTTTCTTTTATTTTGGAATGATGTGCTAAGGGAAGTGAACAATGCTCAGATTGCATTGCAAAGTAAAGGTTTATGTGYTGATGAAATAATCATAAAACTAGAAGCACTTCGTCTATTCATTGGAGAGAAACGGTTGCTTCTAGCAGGAGAGGCAATAGATTTTGCCGTACAAAAATCGGAAGAATACAACATTTCGATGGAAYGACGAATTCGTCGCAAGAAACGCATGCCCGGTGAGTTAGCCACCGATACTGCACATACACTTAGAGCGGAACTTCAAAAGCACATGTTAGAATGTCTTGACAGATTCAATATTGAACTCGATACACGAGTAAGGTCCATTAAAGACGTAGCTTCATTGTTTGAGGTTGTGCAGTCAAAGACCTTGCTTTTGGCAAACACTGAACAGTTAAAATTTGCTATATCAAAATTTACTAACCTTTAGGATGAAGTATCAGAAGCAGAACTACTTTTAGAAATACCTAAAGATTGAGAAGACAATTTAAAAGCGGCTAATATTATTGTCTCTAATTGTGTGACGTTGGACTATTTGAAATTCATTTTGGAATGGGATTTTACAGCATCTCTTCCGAATCTAACGGTCGCACTAAAGTTATTTATGATAATATGTGCATCAGTCGCTTCATGTGAGAGAAGTTTCAGCAAATTAAAATTAATTAAAAATTACTTGCGGTCTACAATGACTGAAACCAGATTAAACAATCTTGGTATTTTAACGATAGAATATGAAGCAACACAAAATATAAATTTTGAAGACGTGATTTCGGAGTTTGCAAGTGTCAAAGCTAGAAGGAAGAAATTTTAATTTTTTCACGTAATATACTAATATTATATTTGTAATACTCGTGTTATAATAAAATGTAAATGATTATTACTTTTTTTATTTTTAAAAGTTTTGATTGAGTTTTGGGGTGTCACCTATGCTAGCTACTCCGCTGCCTACCCCTTTATCCCCTGTAACTTTCATAAACGAAATTATCAGTTCGGCACCAATTTAGTGATTGATTGCATTCGTACCTATTACTATGGTTCTTTCGAACTCATTTCTAAATTCAACATACATATGCACTGTGTACAGAGAAATAGGAGTTAATCTTCTAAGAATTCCGTGCCGGATTGCCTCCTTTCACTAACTCTATAAGACAACTCGTATTCACTTAAATTACTATTTATAGACCTAGAAGATAAATATTAATTACATACTTATTTTGAACTTAATTAACTTTATAAGACTGCAACAGATATATACATACAAACATATAAGGAAGATATAAAAACTAAGTAGTTAAGAGCCGTCTTTGTGAGTTTCACAAATAGTCCTTTTTGTTGTTTCAAAAAAGGGTTTTTTATCTTATTAAATAGTACAATATGTTTAAAATATTTTTTCAAAATTTTAAATATATGTATCCGAGTGGAATTCTAAGAGATACGCCTATCAGGCCACGTCTTTGTAGCGCACCACACTTTAAATGTGTTTTTCTCAAAATTTCAAAGTCGGTGGACACGATTTCTCGGAAAGGGTTGCACTGATTTAGTTCGAATTGTGTACATCTTTAAAATGACATTATTTAGTTATTGAACGAAGAATTATGTTTTCGTCTTTACAACTATTTTTTGAGCCAATAAATGACGAAAATATGACAAACAAATGAGATTTTTGTTCAAAGTCTGGAGAAAAAATTAAAATTTTAATTCCAACGTTCGTCCGTGCAAGCTGTTGCTTGAGTAAAAATTGAGATATCTTGATGAAACTTGGTATGCGCGACCCTTATTAAAAATAGTAACAGTCGGTAAATGAGCGTAATCGGACGCCATTAACCAAAAACTTTTAAAGTCACATAACTAAGCACTAAATTAAAATATAAAACTCTAATTTGACACAGAGGATCGCAGGGGCACCTGTAGGCAAAAAAATGTTGTTTAAAGTGAGGCTACCTCTGTGTTCTAATAAACTTAATATACATATCACTTAAACTATTTAAGCTCCAACAAGCGAATTCGTTTAGCGCTTATATTAGAAGACTCCTACCGACAGTGTGAAAATGGATGAAATCGGATTGAAACATACTAACAGTGCAACTAATCAATAATGCAATGAAAGGGCTTGAATGAAGCGTGGCAGTGCCAACTTTTAGGTGAAAACACATATCTCGAGACCCCCCAAATTGATTTGAAATTTGGTATATGGCATCTTCCCACATTTTCATGTTATAGTATGAATATGAGCGAAATCGGACTGCAGCCACTCCTAACTTCCTTTGGAGTATACACATCAATTATTATAACAGGATAAAACTT